TTTTCACGCATCAGGACAAGGAGGCGGCCATCCTGCAGGCGCGAGAAGCGCTGCAGTCCAGGCAGGCGGAGGTGATGCTGGCGCGGAAGTCGGAGGAGGATCTGAAGCGGCAGGCCGAAGCGCTGGCCAGCGACAACTTGCGACTGAACGGCATCGCGGAGAAGCTTCAGACCGAGCGTTCCCAACTGCAAAGAACAGTCTTGGGTTTGGAGGCCAGTCCCTTTGCCGGCATTTCGGCAAGTTTGTGCGAAGGTTCTGCTCGAGTTGATTTGAAGCTTCGGTCGCGGTTGATTGTCTCTTTGGTTCGCGATCTGCGAGTTTTTTGATGCTTCTTTTTGCTCATTTCAACTTGGGGTACGTAGATATATTTTCTGTTTGGAAGAACCCTTGAAAGGGATCATGTCGGGTGAGCAAACAGATTTGGGCTGATGTTTTGATGCTCTCAGCATCGGACATGGGTTTGTCTCAAAGGCAAGGGGCCACAAAATGCTTGGCTTCCTTTTGGTTCCCGTTGAAAATAGACTACTGCAATGACGCACCCCTGTATGTGTGCTGTCTCAAAATTGGTGGACTCCTTTGTGGTTGGTAGTTCGGAAGCTAGAAAGAAACCATGTGTTTTAGGCGACCACTGTTTTGAGAACCACCCATCCAGCTCTGAATTTTCTGGGGCCCACCTCAAAGTTGGCAGACATGAATTGTCAGGTAGCTGATGCCCACCAAAGGATCCCCTAATTGAAATTGCCCACATCGGTGCTTCGATGCGTTTTTCTGGTTTCGAGTGTGATCCACTTTGTTTCTTGTTGGTTTCGAAAACAAACTCAGCCCTGGAATACCTTTTGTTTTGGGAAATGACTCACACCGGTGCTTGTTTCTTCTTTTTGGGGTTTTCTCGGATGTCCGTCTCGAGGCATCGAGGCCTTCCAAGAGGAGCTGCGCCTGCGCGCGGAGCGGGAGGGCCAGTCCATGGGCGAGCGGGGCGCCCTGGAGCGCCGCGCCCCGGCCGGGAGAGCACGGAACCTCCCAAGAACCACCGTGGAGCCTTTGGAGGATCTGCTGGGAAATGGACCCCTTTTTGTTTTTTTTCTTTTGCGGAAATATGAGGGCGTTCACTTGGAGGGCGCCGTTGGAAATGTTCGGCGTCAAACCGAAAACAAGTGGCTGATTGGGAGCCAAGGTGAGCCGCATCATTAGTGATGACTATGAGGGCCATGAAGGGCAAGAAAGGGCCATGTTGGATAAGGTCAGCGTGAGGCGGGTGCCTTTTTTGTATGTTCTCCTCCCGGATTTTCGCAGCCCTTTTTTGGTGGGTCTCGCTGGTGGCGTGTGAAAAGAAATCCGCAACATTGAGCCTGGCCCATTCATTTCTTCCAGCCAAAAAAACATCGACCCCTCCCCACCCCACCCCACCCCACACCCCACACTCCACCCCCCACCCCACCCCCCACCCCACCCCACCCCACCCCCCACCCCCCCCCACCCCGCCCCCCCCCGCACCCCCTCTCCCCTGCGAAACCTCCAGCGCCCCGAGGCCTGGAGGGCGCGTGCCTGCAGAACGCGCGCCTGGCGCGGCTCGGGGAGCTGCACCATGCAGACCTGGCGGAGCTGCAGCGCTCCTCTGCCGAGCTGCTGCAGCAGCGCCAGCGGACGGCGCAGGCGAGGCTTGCGGAAAAGGAAAGGGATTCGTTTTTGTTTTTTGTGGGGATGTCATGCCGGTCATGCCCCTCATTCACTGCTGAGAACCAGCAAGTGTGGTGATGTTGTATGTTGACCTGTTCGATGACGTTGGATGCCCCTTTGGGTCGATGTTCAGCATGTCTCGACAAGATTTGGATGCTTCAAAAGTGATGGGGCGGTTTGGTGAGTTCGCTCTGCCTTCCGTTCTGACAAGCGATGTGGCTGCTGCTGATGGTGTTAGTGATGCCAGTTGGTGGCGGTGCTGATGACCCGAGTGTACGGTGGACATGCTGTGACGCTCTAGTTTGCTTGCAGTTACAGTGGTAGCCAAAAAACATATTTTGTTTGCCTCTTGTGATGATGTCGCTGATTCTCAGTGGCTGGTGCAGCCACGGTGGCAGTGCGAAATGAGCGACGTTCTAAAACCCTTGCACTTGAAAAGTAGTATTGGGAGGAAATATCGTTTTCAAGATGTTGACTTTTCCCGGGTCGCGGAAGCGCCGCGCAAGGTTCGCGGAAGGCGTTTCTCATTTGCGTACTCGCGGAAGCTTCGCGGAAGGGCTACGATTCAATCACGAAAGCAAGAAATTATAGTTTCCTTCACGCGCGGAAGCGAAAGCGAACTTCAATCCCATTTCTCAATCCGCGGAAGCGACGCGCAAGCGATTCCCTCTTCAAACCTCTTGCGGAAGGAACCTTTCAGCGCAAGCGGAAGCCTTTGCGGAAGGGATTTGACATTTCGGCCGCAACTGGGTTTAGAATATTGCTCAAATGATGCAAATGACGAAGGCTTTCAGATGATGTTGATGCAGGTGATGCAGTGAATACAAGCTGCACAGGCCACGGGTTTGGGGCCGGCCTATCTAGTGGCCGCGGCAATGCCACATGATGTTGCCCGTAGACTAAATGTTGCAGATGATGCTGGTGATGCTGATGATGAATGGGATGCTGATGATGCTGATGATGCTGATGATGCTGATGATGCTGATGATGCTGATGATGCTGATGATGCTGATGATGCTAGCAAACGGTGGCTCGGCAGTGGAGGGAAAGGGGTGGTCCCCCTGCGGCCCTACAAGAGACTTGCGGTCACTTGGTCACAGATGATGTCGCACCAGGAGATGCCAATCGTTCCAACTCGATGGTTTGGAGCAGTGACTTGGGCATCTTGAGATTCTTGTTGTGACCTTTCCAAGAGTCAGCAGCTTTCAAGATGCCGGTTTTCTTTTTTTGAGGTTGTTTCAAAGACGAGGTTGCAAAGGCACGATGCGTTATTGCTCCTCAAGGTTCAAACCTAGTTCCGCGTATTTGACTTCTCTCTCAAGACTCAATTCGATGATTTCATTCGCTTCAAAGAAGTCCTCCAGTTTCTGAATCAGGCAATCTTTCATTGTAGTTCTACAAGTTCAAGTCCTCTTTCAGACGGGTTTTCAGCCATCCAAAAACGGGATCCGTTTTTTTTGGGTTTCCAGAGGTTTTCTAGAAAGATTCGGATCCCCATAGAAGGGGCTTTTCCTGGAAAGAATGGAAATGGAAGGTCTCCACTAAAATAGAATATCCCAATCCCCACTAAAGGAAGCCTAAAATGGGTGGTGAATTTCCACCAAACTGGGATCCGCCACCACGGTTTTCTTCATCACCAGGCGACGGAGGAGCTCCAGGCCTCGCGCCGGGACGTGGCGTGGCTGCGCGCGAAGCTGGCGGAGCTGGACGGAAGCGCCGGGCACTGGCGCTCGGAGGCGGAGAGGTGGCGCCACGCCTCGGGGGCCGCCGCGGCCCAGGCGCCCAGGCGGGCGCCGGAGGTGGAAGGGAGGCGGAGGTGTTGGGGGGGAAAGGGAGGGGGGGGAGGTGGGGGGGGGAAAGGGAGAGGGGGGAGGGGGAAGGGGTGGGGTTGGAGGTTTGGAGTGAAAGGCTGAAAGGTTTGCTTTTGGTTTTTTCTTGGCAAATCCATGGAGAAAAGATGTGCTTTCTGGGTTCTTGTCGGCAACTCCATGGAGAGAAACTGCTTTGAAACAGATGGATTCCACTCAGCTTGGTTCTAGTCACCACTGCCATCTATTTCTTCAAGATGTCAGCGTAGCTTTGATGGAAGGAGCCGAAGCCGCAAGGAAGGCAATCTGAATGGGGAAGGGGTTGGTCCAGGGCCATTGCCAGCGGGGCAGCATGGTATTGTCAAGAGAGAAGAGGATTGAAATCTTCATTGGAATCCGTGACGAGGTGGAACGGATTTTGGTTTGTGCTTTGATCAGCATGGGAGCCGATTTGACATGCCTGTTCCTGGAGTTGATAGAAGCAACACGATCAGCTTTAGCCAACCTTTTTTGAATCTTACTGATTTTCCACCACCTGAAGGTATTTGAAGCTGCACTTGGTAGCATCTCAGAATGGTTTCGCGACATGCAAAGTGCGAACTAAGATGTGATACTCAGATGGGCAGAAGAGAGACATGCAGCGGCACAACCCCACAGAGTTCACATTGACTTTAACAAGGAGCAGCACAGATCAAGTGAGGCTAGGAGCAATGTGGGGTCCAACAGGTTTTTGAGTGCATAAAACTTTCTCTTGGCAACAACTGGAATCACCTGGCAAGTACTCCGTTTGGCTCGCACGGCTTGACTCGAGCTACTGACCTGCAGGTTAGAGGAGGCCGTGCATCGCGAGGTCTGGAGTTTAAAAAGATCACCGCTTTATCGTGTGTTTTGGGCAGACTGGACAACTTGGAGGTCATGGCAGAGTGCCCTTTTTGGGAAAGGTTGTTTGCACCGCAAAAACCCCGAGCTCCAAGCGCCGGGCCTCGCAAAGGTCGCCGCATTTTTTTTCTTCTCCCTTTGTGCCCTGAGAGCGCGCTGGCCGACAGCCTCCGTGGCCGGATTGCAGAGCTGGAGGAACACTTGGCCAAAGTGCTGAAGGTTCAAGTGTCTGCAGAGGCGGGGCTGTGCCGATGTTACCTGGACTTGACTCCGGTAAGGGTTTGCTTGAAAGAACACAATCATGAGGCGGGTCAAGCACTCATGGAGGATCGAGCGCCTCAAATCGCAGGTGTCTTCTTTTCCCCGAATTCATCTCCTGGCTCTACTCGAGATTCGCCATCCCCATTGGTTTGCTTGGGAAGACCGTCTTTTTCGCGCCGGGGCGCACTGTGCCCAGGCAGAGTGCGCGGGTTTGCGGTCACAGCTCGCGAGCAGCCGTGGAGAAGCCGAGCACCTGGCCCCGCTCTCGGGTCTTGGGGTCTCGGGTTTTTCCACTTGGGTTTTGGGTTTTGGGCTTTGGGTTTTGGCCGTGGTTGGGCTGCTTTCTTTTTGGACAGTTGGGCAAGCTATTGGAGATTTGGGTACAAACGAGTGTTGACGACTTCAGTGAGCCGCGCGTGCCTATTCATGGTTTGAAAGCCAAACACCATTTTCCACCGAGGGGGTTGTGGCCTTGGATTGAGGCCAAAACCGCATCTCGCTTGGCAGGGGAGCGGAGCCATGCGGCGAGCTCAGGAAGGCTTGGCACTGGACTTTTATCAGTGGCAAACTGCTTGCCAGTCGGGAGTTTCTCAAATTTGGGACCCTCGGTTTCCTGTTGGTTCCCGTTTAAAACCACCAAAAAGGGCTCTCATCTTGCGAAACACCCAGGCGTTTCCTTTGAACATCCCGAAACGGGGGGCCCCAGTCTTGCCGCATCCTGCCGAGGCTGAGCAGCAGGCGCAGCTGGCAGCGACTGCGAAGATGGAGGACGGACCCACCCGATAGGAAGTTTGGCAGAAGCGAAGGCTTTGATCTCGATGTCCATAGAAACAGTTAAGAGCCATAAGAGCAAGCGCAATCCATGTTCTTGTATATGAAGCATGTCAATATGCTTTGGCCCACATCCGATGTCAAAGAGAGTGTGCAGGCAGATCGCAGATGCCATGTGCTGGAGCTGGAGCACCTTCCGGAGCTGGTCGCCAAGCAGCAGGCGCTATTTGGCTGCTGGTGCCACCCGAAATCCAAGGAATGAACCGGAACCCAGCCCTCTATCACAGTATCACAGCAAGTTCAACCCCCAAAGCTGTTGCCATTCCCGCTCCGCAAACCCAACTCAAGCAACCAACATCAGTCCGGACCAAGCCTTTACCGCCCAGAAGTCATTTTAAATTCAACATGCTGAAAACCCAGACCGACGTTGCCCCGCTAAACCCGCCCTAAACCCTCCCGAAGCCGATCCTAAATCCAACCATAATGCAAGCCAACCCCAATCCGTAAACAAGGCTGAAAGCATGCCGAAGCAGATCGACCCCTGGACCAACCTTTTACCCACCCCAATAAACTAACCTCAATGTTCTTTGCTTGCTTGCTTGCTTGCTTGCTTGCTTGCTTGCAAGCGTGCGTGCGTGCGGGCCGGGCCGGGCCGGGCCGGGCCGGGCCGGGCCGGGCCGTGCCGTGCCGTGCCGTGCCGTGCCGTGCCGTGCCGTGCCGTGCCGTGCCGTGCCGTGCCGTGCCGTGCCGTGCCGTGCCGTGCCGTGCCGTGCCGTGCCGTGCCGTGCCGTGCCGTGCCGTGCCGTGCCGTGCCGTGCCGTGCCGTGCCGTCCGTCCGTGCGTGCGTGCGTGCGTGCGTGCGTGGTGTGTGTGTGTGTGTGTGTGTGTGTGTGTGTGTGTGTGTGTGTGTGTGCGTGTGCGAGTACGGCGAGTGCGTGTCCGTGTCCGTGTGCGTGTGCGTGCGCGTGCGCGTGAGCGGGCGCTTGCTTGCTTGCTTGCTTGCTTGCTTGCTTGCTTGCTTGCTTGCTTGCTTGCTTGCTTGCTTGCTTGCTTGCTTGCTTGCTTGCTTGCTTGCTTGCTTGCTTGCTTGCTTGCTTGCTTGCTTGCTTGCTTGCTTGCTTGCTTGCTTGCTTGCTTGCTTGCTTGCTTGCTTGCTTGCTTGCTTGCTTGCTTGCTTGCTTGCTTGCTTGCTTGCTTGCTTGCTTGCTTGCTTGCTTGCTTGCTTGCTTGCTTGCTTGCTTGCTTGCTTGCTTGCTTGCTTGCTTGCTTGCTTGCTTGCTTGCTTGCTTGCTTGCTTGCTTGCTTGCTTGCTTGCTTGCTTGCTTGCTTGCTTGCTTGCTTGCTTGCTTGCTTGCTTGCTTGCTTGCTTGCTTGCTTGTGGTGTGTGTGTGTGTGTGTGTGTGTGTGTGTGTGTGCGTGTGTGTGTGTGTGTGTGGGTGTGCGTGTGCGTGTGCGAGCACGGCGAGTGCGTGTGCGTGTCCGTGTCCGTGTGCGTGTGCGTGCGCCTGCGCGTGCTCGTGAGCGGGCGCGCTTGGTTGCTTGCTTGCTTGCGTGCGTGGTGTGTGTGTGTGTGTGTGTTTGTTTTTTCGTGTGTCATTTTTCCGCATGGGAACAGTGCTTTTGCGCAATTTTGTTGGTTGAGTCCTGGGTCTTTGAGCGGCTGGCTTTGGGGAGGTTTTAGCGTGGTTGCAGGCATGGACACACACATCCCAGAAGCAAAGTAGCACAACAAACAAAGCATGAGGAAAGCAGGCGTACTTTCGAGAAGTCCCGTGCTCAGAAGTTCGGACTTGGCAGGCCAACACTTCGGACCTGGCGAGTTTGCGGTCGCGCTTGGCACAGTTGGAAGGGGAAAACACCATCCTCAAGGGCCAGGTGTCGCAGTCGGAGGTGTGGGGGTCGGGGGGAACGGGGAAGGGGTGGTAGATAGCTTGGCTGTTGCCCGAGTTGTCGCCGTGGCCTTCCTGGTTGGTCATTGCGAATGCCGAAGTGCAGCGGTCGCTAGTTTCTGTGAAGTACCACCTGCCCCTGGCAGGTGCTCGTCAAAGGCTTGCGTACAGAATTGGCAGATGTGTGCGCCAGTCCGCGCACCCAGCATGCGTTTGCCTGCTCCAATGGACCTCCCTTTGGTTTGTTGACAGAATCGGTCTGTCTGTCAGCTGTTCATTCGATGATGCTTTGTCCGGTGCCTCTTGTGCAGTCTATTTGTTGGTAAATCCATCGCCGCGATCGCTTGCTTTCTTGGTTGGTGGGTTTTTTGGGTTGGTTGGTTGGTTGGTTGGATGGCTGGTTGGTTGGTTGGCTGGCTGGCTGGCTGGTTGGCTGGCTGGCTGGTTGGTGGGACGGACGGCTTTCTTTCTTTCTTTCTTTCTTTCTTTCTTTCTTTCTTTCTTTCTTTCTTTCTTTCTTTCTTTCTTTCTTTCTTTCTTTCTTTCTTTCTTTCTTTCTTTCTTTCTTTTTTGTTAATGTTGAAACGCATGTGGAAACATGAACTGTGTTTGAAATGCTTGACCATAATGGCCCCGGCCATTTTGGCTCAAGCTTTGTTCTTGGGTTCTCTGAACCCAACTTGTGTGAACAAATTGAAAGGTAGCACTTCCGAACTAACCCCGAACCAGCAATGGCCTCCTCGGCAACTTCGGCAACTTCCTTCGAGTTGATTGAGGACCAGACACTCACCGCGAAGGAGGTGGAAATGGCCAGCCAGGAGGCCCAGGAAGTCCGCACACGCGAGGCGGCTGTGGCGGCCGGCCTGGTGTTGGATGAGCCCGAGGCGCCCCCGTCGGCATCGGCCACCGATGTGATGAACGACCTCTCCAGTGCACTGGAGCGGCTCCGTGTGGCCTTCTCCACACCGACTCCCGGCCTGGGTGCCCCTGGCCCCGCCGAGGACGAGGACAAGGAGATGGGCGATGCGGTCACCACGGAGCGTAGTTGACCTCCCAGACCTCTTCCCGGTCCTTCCGGCATCGGCGGCCACGTTGCTGAGGGACGTCACGGTGGAGGAGGCGGTCTCTCTGTTCCACAAGTTTGTTGGGAAGAATCTCACGGAGGACTTGGTGGTTCGCATCCTGGAGGCTTATGTTCCGATGAAGATCCAGATCCGGCAAGAGGAGGTCTGGGCCTCACAGTTCCAGCGGAATAAGGCATGCATTGGCACCCAGCGGATGCACAGACTCGATGCCGGCCACTCGGACTGTGTAAGGCATGCGGCACGGGGTGGCCGGAGGCAGAATCAATGCTGGGTCTGCCCGGGCAAGGAGTTTGTCCCCTTCCAGGCACCCTCGGCTACCTACGAGGCGGACGGCGTCACGTACAACCTGCTCATTGTGGAGGGCAAGCCGACCTGGATCCAGCAGCGGGATGGGGGAAGCCTGGGTGCCGCTGGCCCCGGTGGTCCCCGGGCACAGGCAGACCGCAACCTGGTGGACGGCACGATCCTGGGGAGAGCTCCTCCGAAAACGGACACGGCCGAGGAGATCACTATGGCTGACGTGGTCCCGCTTAACAGGCGGGTGGACATCCGGCAGGAGATCCTGTCCATGGAGGCGGACGACGAGGCGTTGAAGGTCCGGGAGCGCCAGGAGGTCAAGGTCAAGGTGCAGCGGTCCCTGCAGGAGGCAGAGGCTCAGAGCTTCCAGCTCTACCACCCCCAGGTGGACCAGGCGATCCGGAAAAAGGAAGAGCTGCATAAGGCCTTGAGGGAGCACCGGGGACCGACCCCGGAGGAGTCCTCGGCCAAGGAGTTGGTCACGGATGAGATGTTGGACAATGAGATGGCAATCCTGGCGCCTCTCCAGGAGGGCATGCAGGCCCTGCCGGCAGAGGAGGTGGCCAACGAGGGAGCCCGAGGTCAACCTGGAGCGATTCAAGGCCAAGCTGCGAGACCTGGAGGGAAAGGGTGTCGACGCCAGCCAGGCACTGGCTGATGCGATCCATTCAGGAGGCGCAGGAGGCGAACAAGCGCACCCAGGACACCAACCAGGCATGGATGCTTCTCCAGCCCCTTGGAGGTGTCGGCATGGCCAGATGATCTCAGGCAGGCCCTGGAGAGGGGGCTGTTCTGCCCCCGAGCTGGATGACCCTGAAGACATCCCCAACGTGGGGGACATCAAGGAGAAGTACGTCCCATACATCCGGAGGCTCAGAGAGGCGCAGAACCCGTGGAACCAGGAGGAGATGCCCCCCCCCAAGGGTGCCACTGGCCCCGGGGGGGACCAGTCAGGGCCACCGCAGGACCTGGACTCGGAGGCTACGGATGTTTGGGGGGATCTGGAAGAAGCACTCCAGCGGTGAGATCCCCAAGGGCGCGGACCAGCAATTCAAGCTCTCGCCGGAGGAGCTCCTGGCCCTGGAGCGCAGGACCCACCCACTCACGTGTGAGCGGGACCACATCGACCCGATCATCTACTCGGCCCTGGAGATCCGAGCGCAGGTTAACCGGGGTGAGCGCCCGGCGCCGGAGCAGGTGGTGGGGATCTTCTGGGCTAAGGGCGATGGCGTGTTTTGGACAAGGCAGACTCGCACGTGGGACCTGCCGAGCTTGACAGGGGTGTACGCCCATCGCTTCACCTTCAAGTACATCTACTCGGCTTGGACCACATTGCGACGGGGCCGCAATGCGGAGGGCTCGACTTCGGATAAGTGGATGGGGAACATCCTCCAGATGCGGAAGGAGGCGGTCCCCTTCCTGGAGAGCCTGGGAATCCCCAAGCCGCGCAGCAAGGCGGAATGGAGCTACATCTTTAAGGAGATGGGGACGTTTCTGGCAGCCAAGAACTTCATCGTCAATTGCCCATTGCCGGTGATGGAGCTCCCGGGCCCCCGTCCACGACAGCAAGGAGGCCCTGCGTTTCAGGGCGGTCTGTGACGAGCGAATCACACTTCCGCTGTCATCGTTGAGGGCTTTTGACTCGGTGTACACCAAACTGGTGGCGGGCCTGAGTAAGTCCTCCATGGTGGAGATCAAGGTCAACTGGCGTTGCAACGTGGTCCATGACTGGGTGGAGCCGGTCCCGCAGGCCGGCCCTGTACGACCGGCTGGGCTACTCCCAGGACCTGATCAGGCAGCTGGGCTGCTCCCCCCCCTTGGGTGCCTCTGGCCCCGGGGGCGGGGCGGCCAAGGAATCGGACCCCAAGGCCAAGATTCTGGCGGGAGCGGACACCACGCTCCGCACGCCGGACCAGGGTACCAGGCGGTACCCCCCGATCACCACGTCCACGGTCACGGCGGTCGCGGGCCGGAAGTACATCAACAAGCACTTCCCGAATGGAACCAAGCACGTGTTCTGGGCCTCGGTGGAGTGCGGCCTGGTCCTGCCCAGCATCAGCGCATGGGAAGTGGTGGGCAAAGAGAAGTTCAAGACCACCGGGGGCTACATGTGCAGGTTCTGCAAGGGCTTCTGGAAGGCGAGCCGTGGGGGGACCAGGCTGGCCCCGCGCATGCGCTTCAGCTCCTCGAATGGCCTGGGGGATGTCTCCACTGCCCTGTGGTCGGTCATCCTGAGCAACCCAGAGAAGTCAGGGCTGGCGGCCATCCACTCGGTGGCAAAGGAGGCGATCTTGATCTCTCCCCACCGGGACTTGGGTGCCTCTGGCCCCGTCTTGGGTGGGGGGGAGGTGTTGGGGTGTTTCCCTTGTTTTGGGTTCATCATTCACCTTGGTTTCCCCCCCTGTTCAACACGCCACGACTGCCGGTTTGCCTCGAGCCGGAGGCTGCGCAATTTGGCTGCCCCAAGGACGGGCCGTATCGGCCGCTGTTTGAAGAAAGTGGCTGCGGCTGACGCTGGGCTCCCGGAGGGGATTTCCGGGGGGGGACTCTTTGGGCTTGGTGGGCTGCATGCCGCCTGCCTGCCCCACGCGCACTCGGCATCAGGAAGGGTTGGTCGTGCTTGCAGTTTGCCGCGGTTGGGTCCCGGCCATTCGATAGGAGGCTCGAACCCTTGTTTTCAGCATGGCTAGGGTCTCTACACAGTTTCTGTTGCGCCCGCCTTACACTCGTCTTTGGGACCGCATCCCAAGGGTCCTGTGGGACACGCTGGCGGATGAGTCTATCTCCCCGAGACAGACAGACGGGGAGTTGCTGGTCCTGATGTGCCTGCGCCATGGCACGGCGGAGGAAGGGAGGCAGCTGGGCGGGGAGCCGGCTCTCCGCTTCGCTCAGCTCCTGGAGCTAGCGGGCGTTCCGGTGGGCCAGGCTGACCAAGTGGTACCAACGGACTACTTCAACGGCCTGGTGGCGTCGGCGGCGGGCAGGCTTCCCCAGCCTTTGTCCGCGGGGGACCTGGCCGACCTTTGGGATAGCCTATGGCTCCTCCTCATGGCGGCTGCGGACGGCAAGCTCAGCGAGAACTTTTCCCCGCTGGAGAATGAGTTGGACCGCCAGGACCAACTGAGGTGGTTCTCGCGAGATGACCCACCCCCACTCCAACAGCCGGAGCTTCTGAAGTGGCGGCACTGGAGGCCCGGGAAGATCAGGGAAATGGAACCCACGACTCAGCGAGCACTGGAACTCCATATGCGCGGGAAATGGGCGGAACGGCTCCTTGCCCACTTCGCCCCCTTTGCGGAGCACATCGCATACATGCAGGACATCCTGGGGGAGGACTTCCGCAAGGAAGCACTGGACCTCTTGGGGGATAGCAGGTTCCGGACGCTCAGGCAACACTGCCTGGTCTACGAGAGTCTCCGCAAGAGAGGCTTCACCGTCATCCCATGGCAGGAACGACATGTCCGTTCTCTCCTCAACCAGCTCGCCGATGAGGAGGTCACCCCGTGCAAGTTGCGGCAGGTGTGGAACACCCTCAAGTGGTTCTCCAAGACCTTCGGACTGCTGAAAATAGACGAACTCCATCGCCTCAAGTCCAAGAAGAGCTCATTGGAAGAGGCGCTCACGGACACGGTCACCAGGCCACAGCGTAAGGCGGTGGTCCCTAGCAAGGAGGTCATTTGGGCTCTGGAGGAGGGGGCCGGCTACGATCGCCTGGGTGCCACCGGCCCCGGCACGCAGGAGGCCCCGGGCAAGAACAGACACGAGTGCTGGACGCTTTCATCCTGGGGTTCGCCCGGTTCCAGGTGGGTT